CGTGTCCGACACCGACACGTTGGCCATTTTCACGTGTCGGTGCAACATAGCAGACAAGTTTCCTGACATTTTTGAGTTGGTGAAGATAGAGCTTAGCATGGTTTCACAATTCAATGAGGAGTTCTCATTGGATTGGGATTCTTCTCCTCATTGAGCGAGTAGTTTTATCCCCTTGGTGTCCTATAGTAAATTTCTCTCTTCTTTTCTGAAGAATTAATAGTCTTATTTATTAGGATTTGTGGGAATTCAATAAGTTCCTTTTTCCTATTATAAATAGGTCATTCTGTTTTGTGTTTAGACATTTCCTACTTAGATCATGTTTGTTGTTTAGAGGTTTTCTACCTCAACTTGAAATTGCATTTAACAGTATGTAAATACATGCTCTGATGTGGAGATAGATATTCTACTTAATATAGTTTGAATATTAGCAGTCATTTGCTTTGGAATTGTGTGATGCAATTAATGCTTAATAAACCCCAGTGGTGATCCTTTTGAGATATCATTCATTGTCAGTCTCTTCTGGTTCTCAAACAATTTGGGCTCATTATTTTGGAACTCATCTTCCTACATCAAATTTGTTTAAAGTTTCGTTGGAAGTTGATTTTAACTTTGTTGGATATATGGTTGTGCATAGATGAGCAGCCCTTGGTGAGCTGGCTTCAAGATGATAGGTGCAAGCATGAGGCAATCAGGTTAAGACATTTCAAGGTACCCTTTTAGAACTTTGTCAATTTCTTTTGTGCTCAAGTTGTTATCTCAAGGCCTTTTCACTAAAGCCATGGGTGCTGATTTCTTGTGTTTGTGCAGACCGTGACCTCAGTTGAATGGCATCGCAAAGGAGACTATTTATCCACAGTGACGCCTGCAGATATCCTTGTGGTTTAGTGCTTTATGATGATGTGTCTCTTTGAGGGGTAGTTGAATCCATCGTTTGAAGAGAAGTGAATACTTCCAGCTTTTAGATATATATGTAGCATTAATAGTGCGGCTTACAAGAAAGAACCCAGAACATCAGTTGTTGTAGTAGTAGGTAGACTTTTTTCTAGAAGGTATTGGGGGAAAACGATGGTAGAAACAAAATAGGGCGTTGTTTGCAAGACAAGAATCAATGTCAACCAGAGTATTTGCATCCATGAGTAATTTTGTACAATACTAAAGGTCTAAGGTTTTGAAACAGCTTTGAGTAATCACAGAGATGATAGACTCTTCTTCAAATTCTCTCCTTTTTCTCTCTTTCTGTATCAGTCAATAAATGGTAAGAGGAAATGATGGCCCCCAACTTTTTCTTGTTACAAGAGATCTAATGACACTGCCACACTCACAATCCTTGCTCTATAAGCCTGTGACACAATTGAGACCGTTGTAGACAGACCTGTGTATGTTTAATGTGGTAGTTTGACTTGTCATCTTCTCTTCCTGTTATTTTGGTAGAAGCATCTTTTGGCCATGAGCTTCCGTCTTCTTTTAGTATTGTCCTAGGCGAAAATTATTTGTCAGTTGACTTCCCAAACAACATAAGTAAGAACTTTTATTTGCTTCTTTGCATTTTCTGGTTCGAGATCACTATAATTTGTGGAGTGTTACTTTTTTAATTTGCAGTAGGTTTGGTCACTTTTTCTAAGTAGTTTCCTTTAACTTTCCTCACGTGAATCAAGAGCAATCTTAATACACCAGTTGTCAAAGAAGATTACTCAGAAGATCCCATTCAAGTTGCACGGTCTTCCAGTTTCATCAGTTTTTCATCCTTCTCGATCCATCTTCTTTGTTTCAACTAAGAAGAATGTTCGCGTGTATGACCTCTTGAAGCAGAAACTCATTAAAAAGCTTGAGACTGGACTTCGTGAAGTTTCCTCAATTGCAATTCATCCTCAAGGTATGTTTGAAAATCTGATGTTAGTGTTCTCTTCCTTGTTGATTTCTAGATCCCCGTAATTCTTAGTTGTCTTCCCTTGCAGGGGATAATTTAATTGTTGGAAGCAGAGAGGGAAAACTCTGTTGGTTTGATATGGACCTTTCGTCTCAACCTTACAAAACACTCCAGTAAGTTTGCTATTATTTTTGTGACAATTTAAAAGTTGTGAGAATTGGATGAATTTTCGTTATGGGGAAGTGTAGCTGATCAAACTGAGTTGGTTGTTTGTAGTTACACGATTGCCTTTTCTGGGTAGAAAATTTAATGTTTGCATGTATATATAGTCTGGTAGATTTCAGCTTGTTACTTGATTGTTCTGATGTTTGTTCTGATTGTCAGGTGTCATTCGAAGGACATTACAAATGTGGCCTTCCATCGCTCATACCCCCTTTTTGCATCTTGTTCTGATGATTGCACAGCCTATGTGTTCCATGGCATGGTTTATTCAGATTTCAACCAGAACCCTCTCATTGTTCCCTTGGAAATTCTCCGAGGGCATGTAAGCTCAAATGGAAGAGGTGAGTGTTTGTACTCTTTTCTATGCAGAAAATTATTGACACTGAGGAGGAATACCTATCCCTAGCTTCATGAAGTTTTTCTTTAGGGGGTTTTTGTTGGGGGGGGGCGGGGTAAGTGTTAGGAAGGATATCATGTCAAGGATGAGTGAGTTTTTATAAAATAGCTTGGGGACACTAAAAGGTCCACAATTTTGCTGATGTCACTCGGCTTAGGGTAATGCAAGAGCTTCTTCCTTTGTTGACAAAGTCTTAAAGCAGCTCTGGCCATAAGATTTTCTAGACGTCACCATTCATTTATTCTGTTGTCGACAAAATCATCATTAAGGTGAGGCTAGAGCCTGGGGCTACGTGAAACCTATGCAGTCTCTCTGTCCAAGATACTTGGCAGCAGATCAAAGTTTGGATAAACGTGGACGGTGCATCAGGAAGCAGATTAAAAGAGCACTGACCTTTTTTTATTAGTGATTTAATTAAGTTGTTCTGATATTTGTGTCTGAGATTCTTGCGTAAACCTTATAATGGGGGAGAAAACGTATGTTTGGAACCCATTTTGTAACATATGAAAATCGCATCCTGCCTCAGGGCCATATTCCTATCTTATAACCAAGTGGTTTGAAACATTTATGCTGGGACAGGTCCCCTCTACTCTTAACACTGTCGTTGTCTGCACATCTAATTACAAGCTAACTAGCTTTGCCATGCAGATAAGAAACTGACCTCTGGGTATATTGTTACTTATTTATTATTCTTCTAATCGGCAGGGGTGATGGATTGCAAATTCCATCCACGGCAACCTTGGTTGTTCACATCTGGTGCTGATTCGGTGGTTCGACTTTACTGTCACTAAAAGATGACTCTTGAGAAACGATCCTTTGATTTCTGCATACTTGAACGCGACGATTAAACGGAGCTGTGCTCTAGAAGGATGATGCTGAGTCATGCTGCATGGCGATATAAATTGAAACCAAAATGGAGATGCAAAGGCCGTCCAGCAGCCTTTTCTTATAAGCTCTTGATTAATTTTGTTATTCTGCATACGCTAGATAGGTTCTGAGCATTAATCTGGTAAAGAATCATAAGAGTTATCGGTTAGATAAATTTTCCCCTCAATTTTGCCTTGTATGTGGTTAATTGAATGTATTCCGTAAAACTCGCAATTGTTTTGTTTATGTATTTTGAAGGAAAGTTAGAGAATGCTTTTGCTGACATCTTGGGAGTTAAGTTTTCTCCATACATATATGATGAATGCATTTGTTGATGCGGATTTCACGGCGCAGAAAGATAAGAACGGATGGTAGACACTTATGATTGATGTAGTTGCCATCAAATCGTTTTAGAGGCAATTACCACTCTTATGAAAATTGACATGTTTGGAGTTGAAAACTTTAGGATGTGATCAGAGATCATCATCAGTCTTGTTTTTATTTGTCTTCCTTAAGGCCACATGAAACAATTTTTATCGAGACCCCATTGGCTTGGAATAGCTGCGGTTGGCAATTTGGTGCGCTAATCAGTCGATCGTGCTTGTAATTAGGCGAGGAGCAACATGGTAGAGTATTAGAGATTTGGATTAATATGGGTCGCAAATGGCTGACTTGAGTGACTTAGTCCGGTGTACGTGCGAGTGCGAGTTGGCATAAGTCGAGCTGGGCTCAGGTCGACACACAAAACCTGCTTCTCCTCCCAAAAATCAGAAAGCAAATTCGACACAGGATTTTGAATTATAGAATGTTGGGTAGCAATTAGTTTCCCACGAAACCGGCTCTATTACCAAATTAATGTGGCTGTCAAAATGAGTAGTAGAATCATTTCTTAACTCATATATAATCGACTGAGTTGTTATATGGGTTAGTTATATTCAATAAATGGATTTAGGATGATAAAGCCCAACATAATATGAGTATTAAATGGTTTACAACTAATTTGAACTTAACTTACTTTTACGATTCTCTCTTCATTCTCTCTCGCCCTCACTCGATTTCGTACTCGCTCACTCTACACTCTTGCATTAGTTTGGGTATGAGTTTTATTAATTGGGTTAAATATGAAAATGTTCTGACAATATGGATCGGGTCGGGTCGAATATGGATCACTAAATTTGCATTTCATGAAATGGGTCAAAATAGATTAAATGGATTTATTTAGGTCGAAAATGATTCAACCCAACCCGATCCACCCATTTGATGGGTCTACCAATCAAATAAAGAACAATGATGAAAGAATCGAAGACCAACAAAAGGTAAGGGAGAGAGACTCTAGCAGAACAACCGGGATACAGGAGATTCAGTTCCAAAGCGGGAAAAGCAGAGGAAAAACTCTACAACCAACCTTTAATTCTATTATATACCCTACTGCAACTATTATGTTGGCCTGTAAAAGTAAACTAAATCAAGATAAGCACTGTTGAAATTCCAGAAATATTTCTTATTTAACTAAAACATGAAAGTTATCACGTAAAGTTGTTAAAGAATCCCATCGAATATTGTTACGATTTTAGTACTTCCTGTTAACTCATCAAGGTAAAATATGTACGTGTATTCTGGTAAACCCCATGAATTCTACCAATGCCGTTGATCAATTCCACAATGAGTATTGCAGTAAGAATAAATGTGAGAATATTTCCTTCCATAATCTCGCTGTTTTTTTATTATTATTTAATAACTCGAGAAAATTCCCGAATAGATCGACCTTTCGAACTTGTGTGCAGCCTGGCATACAATTATGAAGTAGGATGCAGAGCTTCAACCACTGCTGCAGCTCAAGGTGGGAAAAGCTACATCAATGACGAATTATCTCTGCTTCAAAATTAGAGGACTTCTCAAAACTGTACACAATTTACTGCACTGATCAGACCTCAAATGCATTACACCCTTCATTACCCAATGACATTACAGAAGTTGGACAGCTGCAATGGCTGGAATTTTCTCTCGTAGTTTCTGCGTGACAGCAACTCGAACAGTCATGACCCCAGCCGCAGGACCAGTTATTCTAACTTTAACTATTGGTTCTTCAATGGCCACTAGCTCAAGTGATCCGCCAGCTGCACCAACAAGGTATGGCCTTATCTCTTCAAGAACCTGAAATAATCAAGCAATAACATGTTAGCCAGCAGATTTCCAGGTCACGCGCATAAGGATATCTTAATGGGGTTGCCTAAGCGACCCGGGGCTTGTTCAAGCAAATGCAATTTGAGACAGACGGATGGACAGACAAGGTCAGGAATGTTATGGCAAACAAGTGTGTGAGTTCAGTCCCAGGATAAAGAGAATCTCTGAAAAAATGCAAATCTCAACTTGTTTACTCCTTTTCTGACCAAAAAAAAATAAAAAATGTTAACTCCTTTCGATGACAGTCTCTGTTCTTTTGGTAAGTTCCAAATTTTAGTGCATGAGTTGCACACATGTCTTTCCTACACTACATTTGTGTAGACCGAGATTCAATACTTTTGAGTTATTTGCAGTACAGTTGGGCAGGTCACTAATAGATCCTCAACTTGCGAGCTCTTTGTGGACTCGAGGACCTGAACCTGATGCTAAGGGGTAAATAGAAAGACAGATCAAACTTAGCAGGAAAGGTAAAGGACAAACACACCATTACTTGAGTTGAGAGCCCAAGGATCCAAACCTATCATTAGTTAAAATATCCAAACTAATTCCAGGAGACCTAGTTGGCAATGTAGTCGGGCTTAACTGAAAAAGAGGTCAGCAATTAATTCTCAACTGGTGAAGGTTTCCTAAAGTTGAGGAGTACCACATGCTGAGCATTCATCATTAGCAAGGGAAAGATAAGGACAGAAATCAAGCTTAGCAGGAAAGAAAAAATACAAGCCAATCATTACTTGAGAGCATAGAAATCCAATACCACCATTACTAAAAATATCCAAACCAATTTGTAAAAAAAAGAAGCAAGTAGAGGTACCTAATTAGAGACCTTGAAGCAGTTAACAAAAAGAAATTCTTTAAGGAGAAATATCCTAGAAAATCAGTCCCAACAGTAGGGGAAAAGGACAAAAGCGTTAATGATACCAAGCAACATATATTTGCTGCAATATCTTACTTACCTTCTCTATGTTTTCCTCATTCATCTCAAGGCCAGCTTCTTCATCGGCTATTGGTTCCACTGCAACGATTTCGGGAATTTTCTCCATCAGACGACGCTCAATGCCCATCTTCATTGTCATTACAGAACTTGGACAAGAACCACATGCTCCTTGTAACTTCAACCTTACAACATTGCCATCAATCTCATGCAATGCAACATTACCCCCATCAGAAATTAGATAGGGTCGGATTTCATCAAGCACACTCTCAACATTCTCTGCTGTCAGCGGAAGTTCCACCATTGACTCGGGCGTAGCGACAGCCTTCACAACTACAAGTCAAGAAAGGAGGAACACTGAGCAAAATCCACAGAAATTACAATCTTTATTCCCCGAAAAAAGAGTGCCCCAGATGAAGAAACAGGAACAGGATGCTGCTTGGGTTAAATCGGGAGCCAATTAGGGGAAAGTATGTTTAAACATTGAGTGGGATGGCTCCTATTGTAGCTATCAATTCCAGAAGATACCTCTCAAAGATTGCCAGAGGAAGATAAGAAGAGATGTGCACAGATGTTTGGGTTGGCAGAACCATAGTAGAAGACTCACTGGTATGTCCAAGTAACCGATAGACCTTAACAAGGTCTTTCTTCACTTACCCAAGAGGAAACAAACCTCAAAGTTCTCTCTCCTCTCACTCTTATGCAGTGAAAGAGATGGCTAACCCAACCCAACCCAATGTCACCACGAAACGATGTAACCTGAAGATTCCGACATTCAATAAGATGGTACAGAATTTTCTTGCTACTATTGGACACACTTGTTTCCGTAATCAACTAGCTGTACACCCAAGCAGCAGGACCAAGTACGATAAATCCAGGCAAATACACACGACCTCAATACAGAGTGCTTCTCGTCTCACCTCGTCTTCGCATCGGAGCCGCAGTCCGAACCCGCACGAAGCGGCACGACGCCCACGGCAACGGACCAATCCCCTTCAGAAGCGATACATGAGCTCCAAGGAACCTCGAGCTCTGCCGAATTCGAAAACCCCATTAGCAAAACGGGGCAGAAGCAACAAAAATTACCCCACGATTACATACTAAGAGCAAGAGCAAGAGCAAGAGCCGAAGAAACGGCGAGACCTTGGCGGCCGACGAAGAAGATGGCGGTTCTGGGGTTCGGTGGAACTTGCAGCAGGGCCGGTTCGCCACCACGGTTTGCATTTTTTTTTCCCGTCGGGCAACGAGCGAGCGCCGAGGCAAAGTTCCCGTCCAACGTCGAAACGGGCAAGCCCGATCACGCAGATGGGTATCGAATAGATCGCAGCACCGCAGAAGAAGAAGGAGGAGGAGGAATCGTAGTCGAAATCGAACACGCGCTCTCTGCCTCTACCCCTGCCTCTTTACTCCCCCTCTGTCTAGGAGCTACGTTTGCGTCCTGCGACTTTTCTCTGTTCTTCGTGTTATTTCGGCTGGCTGCAAAGAAAGGGAAAATAATTAGGTAAGGGGAAAAAAGTTCCGATTTTTTTGTGGGATATCAGGGCAGGGCAGGAAACGACAAAGACAGCATCTCGGAGGACCACTTTGCAAAAATGGAAGATAAAATGTGAAGACATATATAATGACCGAACAATAAGTAAGCGATTTGATTTATGATTTTACCGGCCAAAAAAAAGTTTTGGTTGGTGATTTTTTAAATTTATGTTTTTTTTCTAATTTGATCGCCCTCTAAAGTAAAGGATTAATATCACCAAAAATTTGTAAATCATGTTTACTATGCTATCGATACTCCTGTTAACTCACAAATTTATATTAATATGACAAAAATTTAAGGAATTGTCAATAAGATTTTTGGTGATGTTTTGTCTAGATTGAAAGTACATGTCCCATGGAACATATTTGCTTCATTTTGGTTCTCCATTCGGATTGTTTCTCGGAATTTTATACTTTTTCATTTTGTTTTATCAGCATGACCAATTCCGATTTTATCGAGACCATTCAATCTCACGACTTGCATAAGATATATATGTTACCATCTCAATAATCAATTTTCATTAACAAGAATATACACGAAATCGATCGAACCGAAATTAAGAAAAATATAAGTAAAATTACATCGTGAGGTGGCGCACAAATTGATAATTCGCCAAGAAAACCAAAATCGAGGGTCAAAATGAAAATCAGGTGAAAGATGTAGGGGCTAAAGTGTAATTCACGCAAAGAGAGTCCTCCGCCGTGTCAGTCGCATAGAACCTATATAAGCTTTCCTCCCTCGCTCCCATTCTCCGAGAGCGAAGGAGAAAAACCAGTAGAAAAAATGGCTCCGAAGAAGAAGAAGCAGCCGCAGAAAGCCGCCACCGCCGCCGCTAAACCACCCTCCTCCTCCTCCTCCGCCGCCGCCCCGAAGCTCCAGCTATCGGCCGAGAACGAGAGCCGCCTCCGCCGCCTCCTCCTCAACAACGCCTCCGCCCGATCGGCCGAGCCTGCCGCTCCCGCCGGCGACGGCGGTCCCCTCTCCGATGCCCAGAAGGCCAAGCGACTCAAGTCCGCTTACGAGAAGCTCTCCTGCGAGGGCTTCTCCAATGATCAGATTGAACGGGCGCTCTCCGCTCTCAAGGTTCGATGTGAATTCCGCAAATGTTATTTCGGTTTCGCCGTATATAGTCGAGAGGATGTGTCCTGATGATCCAGTTGCTATAGGAATTTTCCTTTCTGGTCGGGAGTTTTGTCGATATATGCGATTGCCAAAGTGAAAGAGAAGAGATTGAAATGGTCTCTCGTATGTATAGGATTTAGAAGGCTCAGGTTACTACTATGTTAGTCTACGTTTCTTTAAATGTACTACAGTGGTTGTTCGAAGACAAAAGTCTTCATCCTACGCTTCTCAGTTGCTGTTTAGAGACAACCTAATACCTATTCTTTTTCAGAAATTTTTTGCCCAACCTTTTCTTTCGTATTTAAAGAGTTGCCAGAGTAGTTGTTCCAATGCAACAGTGCGATGTTTTGAATTCTAATAGTTTAGTGCAGCGCAGAGGTTTATGATTTTCTTATCCCTTTTGCAAAATGGGCAGGGTAATGCCACGTTTGAGGCTGCTCTTGATTGGTTATGCTTGAATTTGCCTGGGAACGAGCTTCCTCTGAAATTCTCCAGTGGGGTCTCTTCACTTACCAGTACAGGTAAATATAACATGACCAATGAACTCATAGCTTGTGGAGTTTTTTAGTAGATCGAGTCTGTGGTACAGCATGGGCGAGCTAGATCCTGTATGACCGAATGCTGCACTGTGTATTATCTGTTAGGAGGATCCGTCAACGTCCTTGTATCCGCGCGGGAAGATTGGGCGCCTTCAGTGGGCCCGTCTTCGAAGATTGATGAGGACGCTGCCAAGTATTCTGTGAAGCTTAAGGGCAGTTGGGACAATGAGAGTCTGGATTCCCACAAATCATCACAAGCAGATTGGATTAAACGATATGTGGAACAGCAGGAAGAGGTAGGTTCGAGTATAATTTGAAAATTTCGTTATTTTTTGCATTTTGCTTAATCGATGTGTATATATTTTTATTGATTTTTTCCATTCTCTGGTAATTAGAAAAAAAATTAAGTCAAAACAGCTTAATCACTTTTGATGTTGAATTTGAAATTTTTTCTTGTATACCTCTCAAATTGGATTATTTCTTTTACATGTGGTGCTGCTACTATCTAGTTCTTTTCCAAGTACATCTGTGGATTGGCCGAGTGTATTGGCTGGTTTCTAACTGGCAGGTACGGTTCTAGTCTCTGCCATGGAATCGAGCCACTTGCGAATCAATCACCCCTGGCCTTGTTATTTGGTGGTGGATGACAATGTTTCAAATTTTAGTTTTCCCCTGCCGAAATTATGGAGTTACACGTGTTTACTTTTCTATGTTATCTTCACAGTTTTTTTTGGCTGTCATAACCTTTTTATTTTTGTTTCTTAATGCTGTATTGCATCAGCAGGATAGTTCTGATACCTGGGAAGATCATGTGGCTGATGGAGGTCCTTTGCAAAAGGTTTGTATTTGCTTTGTAGCTCTAATTGTTTTATCTTATAATGCAGTTTAAATTGCTTTTTTTATTATTGAATATTAATGCTGATCAAATTATCGACTATGCTCAGACAACTTTTGAGTATTAAAAACTCAAGGAAATGAGATACTTGTGAGCGAATTGATGTGATATTCGGGGGGTGTTTTCTTTTGCTTTCTTGCCATCCTGCATACTAAATATTTTATCGGGGAAAAACTAGATATTTTTCTGGGGAAATTAATTTAATTACAAGGCACCAAGGGGTCCAAACCCAAGTACAAGAAGAACTCAAGAAAACAAATGAAAAGGAGCTCAAATATAGGACAAAGCGTCTACAGTGTCAATCTATTCATTTTACATCCACATGCCTGTTTCCACTATCCAAAAAGTTTTCAGTCAAATCTCTTTTAAAGGCTCTTTTGCTCTGATGAAATCTTTGTGTTTAAGGCACCGCTAATACGTTGCTGTCATGATCTGAAATGTTTGTTGAGACCTTCAGAGGTTCTCAATTATGTAATGCATATGTTTTCACAGTTTCGACAAGATAATTTTGTACTTATATGTGTTTTCTCCTGCTAGTTTCACTTGTCATCTTCATGATATAGATGTTCATTGCTTGTGAGTTGCTGTCTGTTTTTTGAAGTTTTGATTGAGTGCCAGATGTTTCAGATTACAAAGTCATTTCTGGCCATGCTTGTGACATTTTAGTATCTTTACAAACAAGGAGCTGATTTAAGGATTAGATGGTACTGAGTTGAGAAGTTTTTATTAAGTGCCAGGAGTTTCAGATTGACTGTCGTTTTGGGCAATGCTTACTTTTTGTTATCTTTACATTTGTTTTTCTTTGGAAATCTATAGATACGCGAACCAAGGTCCTATGATGACATTGCCAGAGAGTACCATGCTGCTCGCTTGGAAGCTTCAAGAGCCAAAGAAAAGAGAGATAAGAGCAGCCAGGAAAAGGCGGGCTTAATTATCCGTAACCTCAAGCAAGAGTTGTCTGCTCTAGGTCCGTTTATTGCTTTTACGATTCGTCTTCTTTTCTGATTTTGTTGTAATAATTGTGTTCTCTTGACCATTAAAAGCAGGATTATCTGAGGACATGTTGGCACTGGACTTTGCTTACAAACATGCTTCTGAGAATGTGACCGGTTCTCTTCCCTCAGAGCACCTGGAGACAGAATCAAGAGATATCAGTCTTTCGTCTTCTTCGTCTTCTTCGTCTGCACATGTGGATGTTACCGAAGTTGACGGGAGGGCGGCTTCCCTGGGTCCCCAAGATTCTCTTCAGACACCTACCCTCCCTACTCTACCTATCCGTGAAGAGAACACAACAGAAGGAGAATCAGGGGAAGTAGAGCTTGGCGGGCTATTCTCAGATGATGCACCGGCGGATGAACTGGTTGCTTCGGAAGTTTTGAGACTACAAAAGAAAGAAAGAATGAGAGAACTATGCAGTGAAAAGAATTTGGAGGGTATCTGGAGAAAGGTAATGCCGGATTGTGGTTTGTTTGTGGTGCTACGTAAAGGCTACAAAATTCGTTATCAAGTGATGAATTTGCTACCTATCGTACGGAAAATGTATTGTTTCATGATGTAGCTCACTAGGAACAGATAAACTTCCGAGATGAACATTATTTCCAACTCAAACAAAAACGAAGTTAAAAAGCTTGCTTGAAATTCTTGATAGCTTCAGATCTGATGTTTAAGTGCACTGATATTTTGTTAATACTATGAGTTTCACCATAAAAAATTTCTCCTTCTGGCTTTTTTGTGATATTCCAGATGAACTAGCTTGACTGATCACTGAGTGCATCAAGAGCAAATCAATGGAACAACAATTTTGAACTCAACTCTTAAGTGTTTCTGCTTGCTTGCATTGTCTTCACTTTTACACATTATAGATATCGATTCTTAGTATCATCTTAAGAACAGAAAAATCTAATTGATGTTTGCCTATAGTTTAGCTTATAACTTGTTGATGATATTATAGGCTGGGGTTTTCGAATTGTGATTAAAAAGAAGTGCAATGTCTGATATAGGGTGGCTTGATGATTGACGGGATAAAACGTGATCTAATTGGTGTCCACAAATGCTGCTTTACTTTATGGTGCTGTTTATTTTTTTCTAGGTTGGATACTGATGATTGTAGTCAGGGACATTGTCTTGTGATATGATTTTCTTTGCAATGGTTGTGGTGAAGAGTATCTTTCTGTTGGTCATTGTTAGATGCGACGATTGGGTATTCTTTATCAACAGAGGATATTTGTGTATGGATCTGTGGGAGGGTGTGCTACCAGATAGTGTTATGACTCGAAGAAATTTGTGCGTCGATCCCATTTTGCAGGAGAAGGTTCAGTTGTTGTTGTAGCACCTAGTAGTAGCTTTGGGCAG